CATGAAGATTTGGGTGATGATGTAACCGGCAATGACCAGAGATTGTAACCGAAGCGGGACGATGAACCATCCCAGAGGCTGGTGGTGATGGTATGAGAATGTAGGAGCCATCATGAGGTTTCGATGGAACCATCCCTTTACTTTTGCTGCTGCATTGTTCTTTCGGACCGGCTGGCTAGACCGTTTCACTGGAATCGAAGCAATTGCGTGGCTGACTGTGCCCAGGAAAAGCACCAATCCCCAGTAGGCATAAGGGATCCATCTATTAAGCATCTGTTAGTTTAAAGTACCAGAAGAGCGGGTGTCATAGTAAGGTTGCTTGCCTCAGCTTCTGGTGGTATACAATGTTGGTCCAGTAAGTGAGGACGGTTCGATGAACTTGGTTCCAGTTCGAATCCGATGGCCTCGACACAACATCAACGATGGCTTTCTGCACCTGCTCGACAGTAGGGAGGCTATCGATGTATGCTTGCGTGGCATTGGCAGTGGTGCTTTCGTATATCTTGAGGTTGACCACCTTGGAAGACTTCTTACACGTCGCAGCCCACCAGGCGATACCAGGTGCTATTTCCGATTCTTCACAGTGTTCCCAGATACACAAGTATGTTGAAGTGACACGCAACGGGTGAGTGCAAAGCGTTTGCTCTGTTGTGTTATCCGAGGCGAACTTGGTCTTGCTCAATGTGTAATAGCAGGAAGCACCGCAAACCTCTTTGCTAAGGGGCTTGGCCGCCAGAGCACAGGCTGCGAAAAGCAGGCACAGCAGGTAGTGTATCCGTGACAGCATCCTGTTATCTTGATCCCGTAGGGTGATCTACGATGACTGAGGGCTGACCAGCCAGGAAACAGCAGAGGCGCCAGAGGGCCATGATATATATGCCTATGTAACTCAGACTTTGAACATTTTTACCGGATACATGTGGTATCCACACAAGATATGGCTACGGTGGGCTTATGGAAGATTTTCAGGTATGATCCGAGGCATCAATAGCGTATCAACGCTTCTCTACCCACACGAATATGGCAATAAACTTGGCCAGACGGGCTACTGCCGAAACTTAAACAATCCACATCTCGGAGGAACTAAAGATATTGCCTTGACTCAGATATTACAATTTCATTCGGGTGTTAGTCGGAGTCGGATTTCGGGACAACGTTGTGTGAGGCTAGGATAGAGACGGTAGGGGTACCTAGCTCAGATCTCAACAGCCAAGAAACGAAACAATGCATGTATGTACGTGTGTGAAAGTTAAATAAGTAAACTGCCCTGTAACCTTGAGCATAATCACAATGGGCTGCGGAGCCTGCAGGTCTCGCCCGGCCCTTGATGCTGCTAGTCGTTTCCAATCGTGTGGAGTCAGCGCCTAGACTAAAACATTTGGACACCTTCCCAACCCGTACTTGCTTGTAATGGTGATTAAGAAGAGACGAGACAGAATAAAAATGGCATTTGCTTTTATTAGAATCAACCATGTAACGGTAAGCGGTACCGAAAGCCGCATACGCGTGCCATACAAGTGCCAATTCTGGAAGCAGGAAACTGCCGTCTCCAGGCCACACTACTGTAGGTACAGACTTCTCACGAGAACAGTTTTTTCTGGCGGCTCACGCCCGATAACTAGGCCCGCCGACGTCGCTTTATTACCACGGTTTAAGACTAACTATGTGGGTAGAACTGGATACAAGCCAGGGGTGGTGGAGTGATGATGCCCGCTAGAGATTAGATGGATTGATAAGATGATCAGATAAAATTTTTTCACCACCTGCTACATTGCACGTATATCTTCTTACTCCTCTCTTACTCATGTGTGGCTCCATCGAATACCGCCCTCTTGATTGGCCTGTGAGGTCCCAATCTGGCATTCCTCGGAGCAGTGCGGTTTAAGCCGAGCCCACAAGATGCCGAAAAAAATGCCTCGACTTGTATCTCTCAAGCACGCCATTTATAATCGCTTCATCCCAACAAAGCTGTGCTTCTCCAGTTAAAACCCCAAGGCATGAGGTTCAGATTTGGACAATTGGGCCGAAAGCCGCGCTGCGAACTGCGAACTGCGGAATGTCTGGAAGCTCATGAAGTTGCCAGAAATGGAGAGAAGTGGTGGAGGGGAAGTCAATCTCGCATTGCTTCGTTGTCGTCGCAGGTGACCCGAGTAATCACGCCGGTTTACCCCATACTATATAAATTAACGGCCACAGCCTGTCGTTGAAAGTAACATTAGCCTAGATTGTTAAAATGAATGCCAACAGGCTGTCAAAGACGTCAAAATACCGGTTCCAGGTTTCGAGCTCTTGGGGATCGCGACCCTGGTCACAATGCCACACCACAGTCTTCCAGCCAACCGACTACGGCAAAATAGGTACCTACTCGACGCAAAGTCTTTCCAGGCGGGCAGCCGGGGAGTTACAGCAGGCTCTGCCCACACACACACACATGGACTATGCTGCGTGCTGAGATAGACTATTGGATGGGGCGCCAAATGCCGCAGATCGATAACGTTGATGGAGGTCTGGCCAAGCGCTGTCATCCAGGGATTTCGCCGAGACTGCCGAATGTGGTAGTCTGCCCGCTTCCATGTCCGCTTTGGTTCCGTATACCTACTTATTTACGCCTACTTTACCCATACTATACGAAAAGTATAGTCATGGACTAGAAGTTAGGCTTAGGTGCTATTGACTCTTATGAATTTAGAGTATCCTTATGTATTCCTACGTATTCTTATGGACTGATGCTTGCATATACGCGTATAGGGATGCTTCTTACCAGCTTGCGGCACTACAACGACGTGATGACTCGGATTACGGGTCTGTCCGAGGAGTCCGCACCCATGCTGCCTTTCTATATATACCTCTGGGGACTAGAGAATGCAACGCTGCGGATGATGATGTTATAAAGTCACTAAGACCGATGCAATATATAGCCAAACCGCCCACTCCGTCTTATCAATATTCAGATTATTTATCTATCTACCTGAGAAGCTCGACGAAGCATACTTTTGCGCCGCTGTATGATAAGCACCGCACAAATGTCGTGTCTTTCCACGACCAGGTAGCGTGGCATAGCAGGGCATTCGCACACCTTGCTATGCGTAAATCAAGGCCTCATGTTTTACCCCTTCTGATCACCGCAATTGGGCAGAGCAAAAAGAGAAAGAAGAAAAGAGCAACTTATAAAAGCTTGCGGCCCACATCACAAATCGATCTTGACAGCAATGGCGTTGTTGGCTTGATAGCTCGAGACAAAGAGCCACGCGCGTCGTCTGCCTTGCTCTTCTTTAGGATCAATGGCCAGCAGCACAGAGGCGCTCGAGGTTCGGACTCTCTGCCCGTCATCTTGGAAGATGAGTTTAAGATCCCAGTCCTCTTCCCCCTTTGCAGCACCTTCTCCTTTGGACCTGGGCGAGGCCATCCACACCATACTGGGATCTAGAACATCCTCCAGTCCTTTATTCGAGAACCAGTCTATGGCTCTAGTGGGCCCAGAGCCAACAACCCCACTTGCATCAAATGTTTTGTTTGCATAAGGATCCTTGAAGTATGTTGGATTGTCGACAGGTGAGCTGAATTCGATGGTTTTGCTGACACTGATGATCTTCTCGGCATCCTTGCCCTCGCTGATCTTGCCTACATGAATGACGCCGTCGGAACAGCCGGTGACGAAGACTTCATCTTCAGTCCGACCGTGCCCGAGGCCGTTCAAATTGTGCAGCTTGTCCAGTGCAACTGACGCATGGACTCCTGCGTCGTCACTCTTTACCGGCTCCAAGTCCTGGAGCTGGACATGAACAGTATTTGTGCGTGCAATCAAAGAAAGAACATCCTCCATCATGCGCGGAAGTCCGGTCCTGAAGTAGTGATCGTTGGTGACCAAAAACGACGTTGGAGACATGGCAAATATGTCGTTTGGCGTGGTGATGAGAGGATGCCATATTGTCCTGACATGTCTTGCTTTGCCTGATCCAACAACGTGATGGAATAGCTCTATGACTGAATAGCACTGCGGAGCATTGGCATCGCCATTCTCGCCATAATGCTTAGGATTAGGCCTGTGATTAACGGCAAAGATGTAAACCGCTTCGCCCTTTGGCTTCTTTGGGTCATCAATAACATCAATGCCATGAGTCACGAATGGACCGCTAAAGCCTTCCAATTCCAGAACCTGCGCCTTGAGTGTCTGCGCTGAAGTGTTAAAAAAAATCCTCCGTCTTCAAGTATGAAAAGCGTTGGTCATCACTCTTACCTTTGGATCAATGACTTGCAGATTCCCCTTGACAAGCTCTGGGTGCGATGGCTCAAAAAAGTGGTCGATCGGAGGAAACCACTTCAAGCGGGCCCCTTGGAAACCTTCGCACGCAGTGAAGATGAGGCCGGTGGATTCGTGATGATGCAGGTCCTCGCAGTGAGTCGTGCCATCAATAACCACAAATTCCCCAGGCGCCAGCTCTGTGCTTCCTGGTTGTCGAAAGGCGCCCATTACAACAAGGGCTCGCTGCACATACGAGTTGTACACATAGCCGAGCAGCACGGCCAGTAGCACGGCGGTGATTGAGGCGCGGGCCGCCATCGTGACGAATACGCAAGCACAAAAATCCTCTATAAAAGAGTGGCAGGAAAAATAATTAAAAACCGGCGCAACGCGACTTAATAGTATGGAGTCTTCCTATGATTTTCACTGCAACATTGCGTCACTTCGGCTCTTTTGAATGCGGGGGGCCGAGGCACAGTATTGGAGAAGCCCTTGTTATATGTCCATATTGGTCGGTTAAGACGACCAACATCACATACTTTGCACATCTGAGTGGCTTGTCTAAGCCACTAACATGGAACCAAAGCGGAGATTTTCTTCACAAAACAGACGAGCTGGAAGACCATTTACTGAAAAGAGAAAGAGTTGGAAGAGGGGAAAAAAGCTGAATTATATCGAGAGCGGTGATTGGCTCGTGCACGAATCGGCTGTGTGATGCCTCTCGATGGATTCGAAGCTAGTTGATGCAGCGACTATAGCGTTTCACAGTCTCTCAAGGGCTGACGAAAAACTGCCAGGATTCACTCAAAAGGCTCAAAAGGGAGCTTCTGAATTGATATATCTATTTTACTTTAATCCTTCTCTTCTGCGTCTTTCATCACGCCTGCGCACCAACGCCTATTTCATGTTCTGCAGCAAATACTTGAAGCCTGCATAGGCCTCCTCTCCGCTGGGCTGGATCTGGTTAGCTGGCAGCACGAAGCCGTATCTGCCAGTGTCTCTCAGCTCAGAAGTAAAGGTGTAGTCCGATCCGATAACATCATTGACATAGTCGACGCTGGAGCCGGTGGCTTGGTAGATGGTCGAGCAGATGGGGCCGTAGGCAAACGACGTTCCATGGACGGCCTGGATGGCGGCAACGGCGCCCTTTGCGAGAGACTGCAGCTCGTTGTTGTTGGGAGCGACGGCGCTGCAGGAATATCCATAGGCTGGAATCGCGAATTAGTGCTTGTCTCGGCTATTTAGCAGGCCATCTATTACTCACGAGTCATGAAGAGTTGGGAGTAGGAGTGATAGTCGATGTATAGCTTGAGGCCTTGGGCAGTCTTGATCTTCTGAATGTATGAAGACAGAGCCTTGAACTCGACGGTATCGCCCGCACTAACGCCCTTGTAATCGTCGGCGCAAGGATCAGTGGATGCGCCTCCAGGAACATCCCACTTGTAATTCCAGTTTCGGTTGATATCACGGCCGACACATGAGCTTCCAGAGTTTGTTTGACGGTTCTTGCGCCACAGACGGTCGCTGGCCTGGGTATACAGAAATCCTACAATTGTGAATATCAGGACTGCATCGTATGAGACGTGCGAGGAAGCTTACCATCGACATTCACAACAGGAAAGACGTAAAAGTCATATTTGTTCAGAAAACTCTTTGTTGTAGCGTCGGTGCTTGTCAGGAGAGTATAAGCAAAATACTCGACAACCATGGTAGCAATCCATTCTCTGGCATGAACAGTTCCGTGCAGGACAACGGCAGGATTGACGCCAGGCTTGCTTCCACTTCCCCAAAAGTGAATACCAGTGATGGGGTTGCCGTTCAGAGAGGAGCCAGAAGTGACAATCTCCGAAGTGTTGGGGAACTGCGTATGCAGGTCTGTGAGGAACTGAAGGTGGTCTGCATAGGCATGGTATGAGGTGAACCATGTGCTGTTGACAGCGCCAACAGCATAGGGCTGGAAAGCAGCTTCGTCTGCAATGGAGGCACCAAGATTCTCGTGCATGACAATGGTCTTCAAGCCGAATGTCTCTTTATTGAAAGCTTCCAGCTGGCTGGGCTCGACTACGATGTCTGTGAAGGAGCCTGTTTTCTTAGCAGCCTTCCACGTCTGAAGGTTCAGCTTATCAATAACGCCGTTGATGCGATCAATATTGTCGTTGTCGACGGCTAGTCGAAAGACCTTGTAGCCATCGTAGGACACCTTCGGGGGGTGGATAACGGCAGCCAGTGCCGAAGCAAAGAAGGCCGATAGCAGTGTAAGAGACTTCATGGTAAAGGCCAACGGTAACAGTGAGGTTTCACTTTGTGTACTGGTAGTACCAAGTGAATGCCTTGCCAGACGCTGACGATAGGATAGTCTTTCTCAGTTCAGTACCTTCGCATCTCATAATATATAGTCGACTCTTTTGCATCATTTAAGCCGACTATAATTCTTGTTATTAGAATCAAGGCTCGTATGAATACGGCTTTTGACCACGATTAGAAGGTAGTAGCCGGGGCAGGAAAGTACAGCGATAGCAAGTTCCGCCAATGGCCCAGCCAAATAAACGAGGGCAGTGCAACGCCGTAAAGCGATGAATGGCAAACAAGTAAGAGCAAAGACAATCCAATTGCCTTTACAGCTTGGGACTGAGATGATGGAATGCTCTGACTTGCTCGCTCATTGGATCACGACTAGACCGCCCACATGATGCAGATCCTCCCAAGGGCCTCCCCGCTGGCGGCTTTAGATCCCAGCAATGCTTCTGGGCTTTGAGCTAAGTGAATCTGCTCGATGGAACTGCCGAACAAGGTTGGTTTTCCGTGAACAAGGCAGATGGGGGTTCAATCTTGCAGTAATTACACTGCACTTTGGTCGACCTGCCGGAACGAGACGCGCAGATTCGCTCCACGCAATGGGACTTTTGAGAGACATTGGTCGATCACGAATGGTGGGATACGAGGCCACCGAGAGCTGGGACGGATATGACAAAGAGCTCGATCTCGAAAAACGAGTGGCAGGCTTACGTGTCTCTAATAGGTCGTTGCTTCTGCTGTCTGGTATTTCGCTGCCTGCCTCCCTATATTTCCCTCCTTTGGAGCTAATAGCGTGACATGCCTAGTTTTCATGTCTTATCTTTGGACTTGAATCGCCATCACGAAGTATTTATAGCGTATTCATGCAAGCCGCCCTTCAAAAGTGCCCTATGGTTCTAGGCACGTTGCCTCCGCTCAAGGTGGTACCGAATGTAACGGTATGCCAAGACCGCCAACCAGGCCTTGATAATCGTATATTGGGGCGCTCTAAAGTTCCTTTTAAGCATGTTCGAGCTAATCGAGCACTGGGGTCTTCCGGCAGCTATTCCACTCGGCACAAATACCAAATACGTGTAGGCGGCTCCTTCGTAGCTGGAGTCGGAATCACTAGCACTATGGCGCCACACTCAAAATTGTGCTACGGTAATCTACCTAGCCCGCGATGTTCATGGCACAGTGCCAGTGTGTACAAAAGCCTGTGTACGCCTTGAGGCGGAGAGCTTTGTGCTTTCCTCCAAATCACGACTTTGTGGGCAGTTTGGTAGTAGGATCCGCAGTTCGACATGCTTGAAGCGTTGTGTACGCGTGGGTTGCAATTACTAATTATTATGCAGTGGACCATAACAAAGGAACCTGGAACTTTAGAGATTGACGATGGCCATAGTAGCACCTTCTGCATCTCCTATAGATTGGTTGTGCATGAATACATTGTCTGGAGCCATAAAAGTCTAATGGCGTTTTGCCCTTCAACTTCAATATCAGCCAGAGACATTTTGCACAGATAGATGTTCGCTGTGAATTTTATGATACTTGTGCGGAAAATGAAGAACCTAGAATTCGAGGATACCTCATACAGTGCGTGTGTGGAAACAGAACATAATAGCATGGGCAGGCACATATATGGCTCTAGTACAGAACCACTCCGTAGCGATAAAAATATATTTGTTTATCATTATTTTCTCTCTCTCTTGCCGCTTGCTGGGGTAATATCGCCAGTGAAGCGCCTATCGTCAAGTTTTGCCTTGGCGATTGATTAGCGAGCTTCCGATCTGGCTTGGTATCTTGGCTTCTTGGCTCAACGACCGAATCACTTACAGGGGAAAAGAAGAAGAACCTCGTTTTGAGGGAAGAGAATTCTGAAGGACTTTCCCATTGTAGTAAGTTTAATTGCAAAATGTTAACTGGCTGTTGATTTCTTGACCATCAACTTGAACGAGTTATGGTTGGTTCTCATGAGCATTAATGGCGCCAGCGACAGCAGCGCTTTCCACGGTCCATCTTTGCACTCTGTGGTTATATCCGATACTAATTGTAGCGAAAATCTCGGCATGTTCTTTTGCTGAATTGACGTTTTCTTTTGAGCGATAGGCTACGGCAGTTGAAATAACGGCAACTCCTTTATTGCATGTTACTATGGGGATGAAACCTCGAAAGTACAGGTGGAGGCTGCTGCGGGAATTAGATTCTAGTGCCAGTGGCAGTGCTACACACAAAATGCTTGTATTCTTCGTAAAAAACGGAAAGGACAGGAGTTGGGGCATAGAGAATTAGAAAGAATGAGACAACGCTGCCAAGTGAAGTCTAAATAGCAGGGCGCTTTCGGCTGACATGCAGCAAAACAATGAGCCGTCAACAAAGAATACCTAGCGTGAAGTTGACTGTTTTGTTACTGTCACTCACCGTTAGCTTTTCAGAAAGTCTCACAGCGCGCTGCAATGCAGGGAATAAGCTTTTAACTTTCATTAGCATCAACCACTAACTGCTGCTTATTTCACCCAGCGAGCATAGTAGCTATGCAGATCAATCAAATACCGACATCGATACATGTGCTAGTACACTGATGCTTCGGTTGAAGCATCCGTATGACCACTCATGATGTTATTCAACCATGAAAAAGTGTAGTACGTACTTGTTCTTCATGTTGGTGTCTTGTGAGAATTTGAGCGTGATCTGTGCCAAGTAAACAAGAGCCGCTATAGCCGGCGTCAATGCCCAATGAGCTTTAGGAGTGTATTAGCCCTCCTTACTACGCCGTAATGAGGGTGAGATAATCTTAGCTGAGGTGGCGGGCGTCTACAGTACTCCCCTGAACGGGGGCAATATTCCGGCAAGGCCCGCACACAAAGCCCAGGAATTTTGGCAGCAAGAAACGAGCCGTGGCTAGGCGTTTTAGCAGCCAACATGTCTTTCCCTCTGCCGGTTCACCTAACTAAAAGGGACAACGCCCGAGTTGTTTATGAGATGGCTTTCGGGTTGATTCAGTTGAGCTTATTGTGACACCCCGACACATAGAGCAGCCCTATGGACATGATAACTTTATTTTTATTTCCGAGCGCCGGTGTTCCGGACGAGAAGCTCACTGTAGGTATTCTTTGAAACGCAAAGGAGTCGACCATCTCGTATCTAAGACGTGCAAAATCTTACAGACTATGGGCACTAGCGCGGGCTGGTCGCAGAATATGACGATGGTCAAGAAATACTAATCATTAGAGCCGTAATAGTGCTGCCCCTTTCCAGCAGGATACAGGCCTACCAAGGCGGACGAAGAACACTTGACGCATCAGATGATGCTCTGAATTGACAGCCCGTCTACGTCAACGACAGATGCTCGAGACTTGGCGTATTATCACTAGGGCTCTGCGGCCAAGAAGTTGTTGAACATGGATATCCCGCCGGCTAGCGCTTACCACGTCTTCCTCCGGCTATCGTTTTGTATGAACCGCCCCGTCTGCAATGCCATTAATGTCCGCGTTTCGTGGAGACGCTTTAGGCTATAATATGGAGTTGAATCATCGTAAGAAGAATCCCTGCGAGGTGCCTTTCATATTAGTAGTAGGGCCTGGTTAGTTTGGGAACTCTGACAAAACCACTCCTTTCATGTCATCTTGTTGTTTACCAACGATTAAAGCAATTTTCGCCTTCGCTCGGCATATGTAGCAAAGAATGCTCTAATGACTAAATCATCTCCTTCGTTGTCGCGTTTTATAGTCGATCTCCGGGTGGTCAACTTTGTGCTCGGCTTAGTCTGGCTCATTACTTTCCGATACCTTCAACAGACTACCTACTACGACCCGTCCTCATTCTTCTTCCGCTGGGATGCCGCGTATCAGCCACTTTACTCTGCGGTAAGAGAGCAGGAAGCCGATGCGTTCCTCGCCTCAAGCCAGTCGCAAAAGAGCAGGCTGTTGAAAGAGTCGGAGAAGAGTCTTGTTCATGCCGCGCCTTACTGTATCGGCATCCCAACTCTCCAAAGAGAGCGCGCGCAATTTTTCGCCAAAACAGCAGCGTCCCTCGTCGATACCCTGACAGCCGAAGAGCGAGATTCAATACACATTGTTGTTCTTTTGTCCGACAACGATGCGACAGCGAATTCAGCATTTGGACAGCATTGGCTTCACGCAATCGCCGACACCGTTGTGGTTCATGAGGATACGCCCAAGGACCTAGTGGCGGAAAATGGCTACCAGACGATCCCGCGACATCCCGAATTTGCGGCCAGAGACGAACGAGTACGACGCGACTACTCTGTACTTTCTGAAACATGTCGCCAAAATGACGCCGAATACTTTATCCTAGTCGAAGATGACGTTATTGCCGCGAGAGACTGGTTCCAGCGACTTCAAGACGCAGCACCGCAAGTAAACGAGCGCGCCGTTGCTAAACATCGAGACTGGCTGTACCTTCGGCTTTTTTACACCGAGACTTATATGGGCTGGAACTCGGAGGAATGGCCCACGTATATACGCAACATTTTCTTGATGTACGCGGCCGTTTTGGGAGCCATGCTCGCCATTCGACAAGTCTTCCACATGGCGCAGCCCTCTGCCAAAGAACGAAGCTCCAAAATTTCGAAACTCCTGATGGCGAACATACTCGTCGTATGGATGCCCTTGTTTATCGGGCTAGGGTTTATGGCTGGTCGGTTAACAGTCAGCCCACTCCCGTTTGGCGTTCAAGAGATGCCGCGGTACGGTTGTTGTAGCCAGAGCTTAGTTATACCAAGTCGGCATCTCACCACACTTGAAGAGAAGCTGAAAGAGGCCCCCTATGACCTACCCGCCGATTCTACAATCGAAAGGATAGCGGATAGCCTTGAGCTTGACAAATGGGCACTTGTGCCAAGTGCTTTTCAGCATATTGGAGCAAGGGGATCGTCAGCTAGAGGAGGCGCCCGTAAGTCGACGTGGAATTTCAGTTTCGAGAGGCTCTATTCGGCGTAAATGTCATCCATATATGCATGGCTTTTGATTTGTAACAACATGTTGATAATAAGTAGTATAGAGGGCAAGCGTGATTTTCGTTTTATTTGATGTAATTGGAAGCTATTTTTTTTCCCAGGAGAAATACACATACCTAGTTCGTCCCATTACTACATATGGAGAACAATTTAAGATTATTCAAACAAGGATCCTTTTATTAAGACTCTGACGTGGCATCCTTGGCATGGTAATGCCTTTTGTGTGTACGTGAAATGGTGTTCTCGCAACTTTGACTGTTCTTGAGATTCCATGAGGACCCAGCATCTCGGAACCACTATCGTTTCCATCGACACCCTCGTCGATAAAGCATCGCTCATCACTTGTTCTCTCCATTATTGTTTCGGATCCGGAAGATACAATTGGGCGGCCGTGTGCCCCTCCATGCCACAAAGCAGAGCTGGACGCTTGTCTAGGCAGGCTGGATAGAGGATAGGTTCCCTTGCCCGGCCCTCTGTCGTCTTCATAATTGGAGTTTCTCGTAATGGAGCCGAAGATGTGAGGGAATGTCCGAGCTAGCGGCTGCCGGAGGGCGGGAAGACAGGCGCCGATAATGCCAGAGTTCGCCTCAATCAATGTCCATATTCCGCGGTCGATAAAGTTCCATGTGGTATCGGATTTGTTGGCAAGCGAGTTCTTCACAGATGCTGCCCTGAGGATGGACGTGACAGTAACGCTAATATGGAATCAGCATTTCACAGTTAGTATTTTTGCCTAGACGGGTGAGGAAAAGGTTCACACTTACAATCCACCCATCATGAAGATGGCGCAAATCATCAACTTGTTGCGCGTGCTCAACTGAAGCGCCATAATGGGCGCAATAGGAAGAGCCAAAACCATGACGTCCGTCAAAATGTTCATAACAGCATATGCGATCCAGAATATATCCGTGTTGATGCATGTTGCGTCAAGTTTCCTATTCCACGCACCCGCAACCGGTACGCATTGAAAAATCGTTGATGTCACAGCTCCAATGGTCCAAGCGATAATGATCCCCATGACGGTATAAGCAGCAATCTGGAACTTTTGGGTGACAAAGATGCGCAGGTAGAGCAAGATGGTGGCCACTTTATTGAGGCAAATGGTTACTTTGTAAGGCGTTTGTGCGATGAAGAACCACCTGAGCGCCGTCTCGAGCTCGATGGCGGTGAGGTCAGCTTTGTGCATGCCATATCCATTCCCAATGGCAACCTGAACAGCACCAGAGAGAACAACTGAAAACAACTGCAATGAATCAATCAATCCATTGAAAAGTCAGAAAACGTCTGTTATTGCTGAAATTTGAAACTTGACGGGGGTGGAAGGGGGCTTACCAGTGAAATGATTATCACGATATCATCAACACCAAAGTTGTAGAGGTAGACTCGGCCTATGCATCTGGCGACAACAACCAAACCGGCAAAGATAATCATCACCATGGACGCAATGTACAGCTTCCAGCCATGGTTGTCTACTCCGTCGGTAGGGAAGCCCATACCCTTTGGCCCCATCGTGGATTGCTGTTGTAATCTTGGCTATAGCTGGATAGCAAGATACATGGCTGGCAAGGCAATTTTGGCATCCAGATGCCTACTCTAGTAGAAAACTGATTGCTAAGATTCTGGCTATAAGCATTGATCCAAAGGTCGCGCCTCTGAAGATGAACGCGATAGGACTGCCAGAAGCCTTGAAAAGGAGAGCACCCAGCCGACCACGATAAGCAAGCTCCTGGTAACGATAATTTACTGCTGCCGATCAGATACGAAATGCTACCCCTTTGAGTACTTGTATCAATGCGAGCGCTGGAAGCCACCAGTGTCTAGAGAGAACCCGCGAAAGGGCAGCAAAGGTATTTTGAGTAACGCTACCATCTAGTGCAGCCAGAAAGATCTTGTCAATACCAACATCTTTGACACGCGCTATTCTTTTAGTTGGCAGATCCATTGTGCTTTGCTCACAAGGTGAGCCTGCAGCTCCAGGCCCTCGGTGGGAACAATAGCAGGTCTGTGTTGTCCGTATAACAGCAAGTGGAGCATGTCACATAACTCGGCGAAATGAGGCAGTCTTTTGTGCTATTTATAACGAGGGAGCAGTATCTGAATAAAGTTGCTAGTGCTCCGTATGAACGCCAATACGGCAGCGGCCGAAATGGGTGTCTGCTTTATTAATGTCAAGTGTCTCTCCAACGGACCATTCTTTGTGGCGCATTGTGGCTGATACCGTGCGTAGCTTTTAAGCAGGTCGTACCTACATGTATACTATAAGCCGGATACACTTTATAAGGAATATAATAATAGTTTGGGTATATAGAAGATCTAGCAGCTTAGCTTCTCTTCTTTAAAACAGCAATCAAATGATCCGCACATCCCAGATGTTCCTCTCCAGTAGAATACTTCTCGTACATCAAGTCCGCCCACGCTTGAAGAACCTGCGGCTGAGACTTGGATAATGCAGTATCAAGATTACCACCCAGGATACCTTCCTGCGATCGCAATTCCATGAGCTCCATCGTGCCAGCGAAGTTGTCGGTAAAAAAAAATTTGACATTGCCCACTTGCGTGTGAAAGCCGTGGACGTTGCCGATTCCAGGCTTGAATTTCTCATATCGACCGTCCTGAAGCTACGACAGGTTGGTAGGGGTCAGTAAGGCGAACTCGGTAATGATGGAAACGGGCATACATATTTGGCGTAGAATTCCTTGTCTGTAATGAGTCTCTCTGGCTCTCTCATCGCAATATCTCTCAGATGCGCCGCAATGCTTATGAAAGCTACAAAAAGTACGCCATTGGGCTTCGCCAGCCGCGCAGCATTGGCGACAGCTGTTACTCGTTCCGAGTCCTCTACTAAGTGATACAGGGGTCCCAAGAGCAGTACAGCATCGTAGATACCATGCTGTAGAATAGTCGGGTCTAGCACGTTTCCAACTGAAAGGCTTTGAAGAAGATTTTCCTTCCCAGCAGCCTTACGCTTGTCCTGTTCGATTTGAGCAAGTTGGATTAGCCCAGGACTAAGATCAACAAGATCGACTAAATGTCCTTGATCCGCGAGGGCAAATGCATATTTTCCGGGACCACCTCCAACGTCGGCAATCCGCTGGGGTGTAAGGGGAAGGGCTTCGTTGATTGTGCGGAGAGTCACGAGGAGCTCTACAGGGTGGGTGTCGAGGCGTGAGAGCTCACCAGCGCCGAGAATGTTGTAGAGGTTGGCTACGTCTGTGGGGGGAGTTGGCATAATGAGAGCTGTTGCCGGCGGAAGGGATGGCAGCTAAGGGAAGTATTGTAGAATATTGAAAAGTTGGAAGAGACAATTTGAATTAAACAGTTTACTTATTGTTTGCCAGGACTGTCATTATTATAGTGACTGCAGGAAAGAACATGAGGCATATTTTAAACCACTGGCCGACGTGCGGGAGCCTTTCGGCTTCCCAGAGGGGTAACAAGGAGGCACCTTTGCTGCACCCGTTACTTATTTAATTAACTCAAATGTTGATACTAATTCCGCCTTTGCCTATATGTATTCAAGTGATACTTTATAACCACTTATGACTCTATATCATTCGCACTGTATTAGCCACAAGCCCCACATCCTTGTCCGCAAGGAAAGAGATTCTACATTAATAAAGTCGGACACTTATTTCGGTTGGTATTAGAGTTTATCACTTTGCTCGCATGCACTAGATCAAGTAGCTTTCAGCGACTGGTTTTTACTAGAAAAAAGAGAGAAGCATATTCAGCCTAGAATCATAACCTATCTCGTGGATTTTTCTTGCTTCGAGACTAGTGACTCTTTTGCTTCGCATACCGGCAGTATAAACCGACATTTTTCACCGCCGCTCTACAGACATAGCAGATGAACCAAATACATCACTCGAGCGTTAAGCACAAGGGCGTTCCCCTATGATGAGATAATCGTCTTACGTTATACCATTCTCGAGCATATTCAGCTCCTTCACCAGTCTCTCAGGGGCTCTCTTGTCTGCAAGGAAACGTGCTCACGAGAACAGCTTCTACGGCTACTGTACGGATACAAGTATCAAAATGGTGGCAGGGGCACGCACCGCTCGGGGAGCTGAGCCGGACTCCATTGTCTCCACTCAATACGTAAAGAGAGGGCCAACCGTGCACTGGTTAGGAAGGCGTGTTGGTTCAGTCAAGAGACAAATAATCACAGACTCCATAGTACAAGTGAGCCGATGAGTGAGAATGGGACGATCCCTCGATCCCGCCTGGCATAGGCAGCTCTTCTTCATGCTTAGCGATGGACTGGCTTCGTGTAAGTTGTTTTCCACTGCACGAATCATGTCTAGCAGGTGAGCCGAGTTAATCGTCAACTCTAATCCTTCTGACAGCGGCTCCAAGGGGCTAGACTGCCCAGACAGAGGCGCCAAAAGAACTGAATAGTGCGCTAATTTGATCCTTGCGCGGATGGCACTCTCCATTGTTTGTGAATGAATCAAAACCCACTCCAAAGCCATCACGCAGCGATAGTAGACTGCGGCTAGTATTGTGTTCTAAGCCTTTACGTCTAGGTAATGAGAAATAAAATATCGCAAGGAGCACGCGCTGTCTTGTCTTGGGCTTTCAAACCCCAAAGTCCAAATGGGCACGTGCAGCTTTCATCAGCTCATGCCCATGACAAACGCCCATACTCTCTCTCAGCATGAGGAGGAACGAACATTGGTGCATGTACCTTTTACGTTGTGTCGGTGATGTTTAGCTACTGTAGGTATGTACTGGGATGCTTCCGACGCCGAGGATACCGGCTCAGTTCGTCCTTGGAGGAGCGACGATCGGCATGCTGCAAGAAACAAACTCCCAAAACAACGGAAAGCTTTGGTAGAAATCAGCATACAAGGGTCTTAGCACCTGCATGTGGGTGGACGGGTCATGGTTGATACTTGCTCTAGCTTATATCAGCTTTATTGATCTGCCCACAGAGCACCGCTCGCTGTCTAGCATGCAACCATTGCTCGTGATTGCTTTCATCTTTTGAGGAATATTGGCCGACGCATCCTTGCAGCTTGTTTAGATACGTCGTCAATCGGCACGCGAGGCTTTTCGTGCCCACAACAAGTACTCGCGTCGACCAACCAAAGCGGAGGCAAAGCGTTTTCTATTTACCCGCCATGTTAGTGCTGGGACCTGCAGGATCGATTGAGACATATTAGCAATGTTTGTTGTACCCGTGGAAAGAGGCAATTGGCGGCATCCTTGCTGCATCGGGCTGGAGTTGCGATCCTTCAAGCCCGATCAAGGGCAATCAACATGGGATTTGGCAAACGACGGGTGCTGAAACTACCCATGAGCCGTATCCGCGCCGCGCATTGGACCGAGATGGGCAAAGCCTGAAATTTACGTATGCCGCAGATGGAGGTCCAAGACGTATATATCGATGAAGATGCTGCCATCGCTTGTTGGATAACAACGGACGTATCGAGTAGCGGCAACTCACCAACACATCACCGCCAGCCTCAGTTCCGCCATCGCTATGCTTCTCCCCAAGGCCAAGGGCACGGCCTTGATCCTAAGTGCTGCCACTGCTGTAGCTGCTTCCGTGGGTGCCACGACACCATCATGTAACACACGGCAATTCCTCACCGTGTCGACGTCCAACGGCCCAGTTATAGGCCACGCTGCCTCCAACTCCGACTGCGTGATCGAGTATCTGGGCATTCCGTTTGCGCAACCGCCTGTTGGAGACTTGCGATTCGCAGCGCCTGCTAAGATCACAGCCAAGAATACGTATGAAGCGGCCCATTATGGAGCTGACTGTCCTCTGACGCCGTCAAAGCCTGTGGACTATCCCGGGTTCACGCCTCAAGCGCAGCGCATCATCAATTATTTCGCGAGTGGTGCGGGCACTCCCCAGAGCGAAGACTGCCTCACTCTAAACATTTGGTCCAAAGCGACGCGGAACTCACTAAAAGCAAAGAAGCCCGTGTTGGTCTTCTTTTACGGTGGCAGTAAGCAAACTTCAATTTTCGGGCCTAATAAGAGTCCACTAACACGAGGGTAGGGTTTGCCATTGGAAACACAGATACTCCCTTCTACACTGGCAAATACTTCGCCGACGCCGAGGACATCGTGGTGGTCACCGTCAATTACCGAATCAACATCTTTGGTTTTCCCGGCGCCCCAGGCTCGACGCAGAATCTCGGACTCCGCGACCAGCGAGCAGCCGTAGAATGGGTTCGTGAGAACATCAAGCAGTTCGGCGGCGATGCATACAAGATTACCATCGCTGGCCAATCCGCTGGAGGCGTGTCGGTGGATTACTGGACTTATGCATACGAAAAGGATCCCATTGTCAAAGGCGTCATTGCACACTCGGGCAACGCCTTCAGCTTTCCTGTCAATGCCCCCGGCGTCCCTGAGAAGAACTGGGATACTGTTGTAGCAGCTGTGAATTGTTCCTCTGCTTCCAATGTCATGGCTTGTATGCGCGAGGCTGATTGGCAGGCTATCAAAGCCGCCGCAGCTAGCATCAAGCCTGCTTCAACCACCAGTGTCCTACGAAGCACCCCTGCCTTCTATCCAATCCCAGACGACGAGATTGTGTTTTCAGATTATGTCAACTTGACCAATTCTGGCCGCTTTGCAAAGGTGCCCCTCCTACTGGGCAACAACAATAATGAAGATGGATATTACCGTATCCCTGCCTACGCCTCCGGCATCATACCGACGGATGCCCAAGTCTCATCTTTTCTCCTCGAGTCTTTCACTTGCCCTGTGTCTCACCAAGCCAATGCTCGCCGAGCTCACGGCGTGCCAGCCTGGGCTTACCGATACATGGCCGACTGGAACAATACTCGTCTGTTTCCTACCAGCGGTGCGTATCATGGAGTCGACCTACACATGATCTTTGGAGCGTCAACAGATGTCAGTGGCTTGCCCACGACTGCGGACCAGAGGAGTTTGACGAGGCTGATGCAGCACGCCTGGTTCTCTTTCAGCAATAACCCATCATCCGGGCTTAACAGCATTGGATGGCCGGAGTTTGACCAGAAAACTGCCTCATTGATTGTACTTGGTCAGAACAATACTCCCAAAGCACAATTTGTGCTCCCGTCAGATTTCAACTCGCCATGCCCCAATGTGACATTAGGTGGATCAGGAACATTGGGTCCGTAATAACAAATTCATAATTGTCACCACAATTGATGTGTGGTAGGCTCAAAATGAATGATGAGAGTTATGCCAGATATGTGTATACGACCCAGAAAATGAATCACGCCTGTCTTCATGTTTCTTCACACTGGGAGGTTACCTAATTCCACAAGTATATAAACTGGGCTACCAAATTAAAAAGCAACATGCAAAAGTCAATTAGTATACATACTCATCGCACACGATAGAGCTATTGCTCACGTAAATAGGGCGCACGTAGATTAGAAAGAGTTTTTCCTAACCCTGGTTATCAGTTCGAGCTACTCATTGAAATGACAGCTCCATTAGCTCCATCCTATCAGCGCAGCCCACCACGGGAATATCGCTTCATTGTCACGGATATTATCGGAACCATTGAGCAACCTTGACTCTATGCGCGATATCTGAACTCTGGTATGACATAACTGATACCCACTGTGAGATTTGAGGGTGAGGGGTAAGTCTTACAAAACTTTGACTGCTCTCGAATTCCTCTTTGTCTCTTCCTTCTTCACAACGCATTTTTGTTTCCAAACTGTCAAAGCTTTCAATCGCAGAAAACAACAACCCTATTAAAAAAAAAAAATCCATTGGTACGACACGCGTCTACAAGGAGTCATGTCACCTGTCGCAATGGAACTATCCAGTTATCGAGGTAAAGTAGACTGAGCAAGCATCCGGGTGTTTGATCTGCTGTATCATGCTGTCTCTTCTTTCTTTCTATTCACATGTTGATGATCGATTCATTCGACATGTCAACTCAGTTAATAGCATTGGAGAAGAGACAACATGCTGGGGCGGATTGATCTGAGAAATACCGGCGAACTTGATCTGGATAATACCAGCGAAAGGATCTGCTTCTTGGGCTTCCCCTGTTCTTCCTATACCTTTTTGCGCAGACTAACCCACGTAGCTCTTTGCTCGATCATCCAAAATGTCGACGGATAAGATTACGTTCTTGACCAACTGGTCAGGCTTATCCTCGTCAATTGAGTCGAGCCGATTGTGCTAACCAGGATACAGGCACGCGACCCCGTACCACGCACCACTGTACCTCGCTCAAGCGAAAGGATATTTCAAGGAAGAGGGCATCAAGGTTGCTCTCTTGGAGCCCAACGACCCTAGCGTATGTGACTTGTTCTGTTCTCAAGACAATTGCACAGAAAGCTTATTGCCATTGCCAGGATGTTACTGAGATCATCGGATCTGGTAAAGTGGACCTCGGATTCAAAGCAATGATTCACACTCTTGCTGTAAGATTCCTCTCATCATTGAATATACTGGCTTTTACTTACAATTACTCAAGGCCAAGGCCCGTGGCTTCCCTGTCGTCTCCATCGGCAGCCTGCTTGACGAGCCTTTTACTGGTGTCATCTATCTCAAGGAGTCTGGCATCACCACTGACTTTCGCTCCCTCAAGGGCAAGCGCATTGGCTACGTGGGCGAGTTTGGCAAAATCCAAATCGACGAACTCACCTCTCACTATGGTCTCACTCCAGAGGACTATACTGCCGTTCGCTGCGGAATGAACGTTTCCAAGGCCATCATCACCGGCGAAATCGACGCTGGTATTGGCTTGGAGAATGTTCAGATGGTTGAGCTCGAAGAATGGCTCGACAAGCAGGGCCGCCCCAAGACAGACGTCCAGATGCTCCGCATTGATGAACTCGCCGAATTGGGCTGCTGCTGTTTCTGCACCATCCTTTACATTGGCAACGAGTCCTTCATTGAGCAGAACCCGGACAAGGTCCGCGCGTTCCTCCGTGCTGTGAAAAGGGCCACTGACTTTGTGCTTGCTGAGCCGAGCAAGGCCTGGGCCGAATACATTGACTTCAAGCCCGTCATGGGAACTGAGCTGAACCGCAAGATGTTTGAGCGCAGCTTTGCATACTTTTCCAAGGACTTGAAGAACGTGCAGCGTGACTGGAACAAGGTGACCAAGTATGGACAGAGGCTCGGCGTCCTCGATGCCCAGTTCAAGTCCAACTACACCAATGAGTTCCTCAGCTGGGAGCTCGAGGCCGACTCTCAAGATCCGACCGGCGACCAGAAGCGCATGGTTGAACTGCAGTGCGACGTTGCCTGTCGAGGCGGCTTCCGTCGACTCCCGCCTATCATCAAGGCCTAAATGGATCAGACGGCCTTTAGCCACTTTGGCTGAGCATATGCGTGGTTGCGTCCTCGCTCGTTGTAGACGCATGCAGATCTGGCACCTCTACGTTCATTGCTGCCTCGGGTCATTCTTTTAGCTGTATAGCTCTACTGAAGAAAATAAAAATCAGATGCCAGACATAAAGCTATAAGTTTCGAACGTGATTGAATGATGCTAAGCGTATGCCTCCAGTATAAGGGTACTTATTTCCGAGATGCGTAGTTGGAACCATCGAAGCACTTGGTGTATTGAAATCGGAACAATTTTCTCTAGAGAATGATATCAGCCTTTATATATTGGCAATGTTGATCAGAACTATCCAGCAATCAATTACTGTCAATCTTGGGAGTTTGTATCTTAGGGCTGTGTGAGCATTTTCACGCTCTCTCCTCATCTGATGGCTGTCAGCCATGGCCGCCATCTACCTACTTATTGGTTGCTCTGGTAGCCGATCACGCTTGCAATTCAGCTCGCATTTGGAAATATGTAGCTGGATCTCTAAGAGATTGTATAAATACAGATATATTAGGGAAAGAAAAAAAGGAGAGAATTACGACCGAGTATAGAAAAAGCTTGGTGTTGATGCACTCACCAAGCCTCTACATGTATGTATTTGACGGCTGCCGGCAGCCACGTACAACTGCCATTCGCATCAAAATATTGCCGGCTACATATAAGTGAGCGCCAACAGCATCTTCTCTCATCAGATATTTAGAAAACTCTTTCAATCTCATCCTCTGCATCTCTCTTTGCCCTGTTCGCAATCTGTGAAGCAACATCACCAAATATGGCGGACCCATCCCCAGATGCTGCTTTGCAAGGCCTCCCGGCAGAGAAGAGCTTGTTATCCAAAGGGATCCGTCGACCGAACTGAAGAGCCGACAACAATCCAAGGGCTGCTGCAAGGATGCGCCGTTGACGCTGGAGGAAATAGTGGACTCCAAGAAGTGAGTTTGCAAGAACCAATATTATGCTCCGCCTTCCCTTTCCACTTGCATGGCGTTGCTGATTGTAGTAGATCATGAGCTTCATAAGATTCAAAACACGCAAAAAGCTGCTCGTCGTCGATCACCAGAAGGCGCTTTCCAAAGAACGGTATAACTGAGGAAATGGAGTTTGACCTTCGCTTCCCTCCAAAAGCTTGCACTGTCCTCCAAGAAGAGTTTCAAGTCATTTGGAGTCTGATATTTCAGACGTAAGTTCGTGACAGTAAATTACGATATGTGTTGTTTATTGGATAGCTGCTAACGCAATGCTAATTTCTTAGTCTTGAGAATATCCGCCAACCATGCCTGACGCGTGACGATCCGGCTTGAGGATGTGAGATGGTTAATGCGTGCCATGGACCCTTCGCATCCATTAGCAAAGTATAACCCAAAATAGGCACATTAGTTCACCCAAGTTTGACAACTAGCGCAATAAGTAACAAGATGGATATCTTTGCAATACGGGACAGCATAGAAGGTGCAGAGAATGTTACTGAGATATCCGTGCAAGATGATCCGGTGTTGGATCGCTTTGGGAAATGGTTATATGATCCATTTTATAAAATTTAGCGGCTATATGGACGAGATTGCTCAACAAAGACCTATTACACTTGCTTATAACCTTTTATTCTTGCTTTTGGCATTGTGATATTGGGCATGTATATCTTCCGAACTCAATTTGTCACCCGTCCAAGGAGTTTCCGGACTACCCATGGAGCGTTCCTAGCAACATGCGGTATGAAAGACCGTCTGCTCTTTTACCATGTCACTATAGCCAAAGCGCTCTCAGACACCACGTCTGTATCGTAGGTAGCATTCGCTCCTTGGAAATACGATGCAAGCATTTGCCACGGAAGAGCTCAAAGAGCTTAGATTACCCGAATGTGAATAAGGTCCAAGAAATATCTCAGGCACCGTTATATGGTATATTAGTGCAAATCTAGGTACACAATATCGGCCACTTCAAAGCCATATTCAGCTCTGGGTTCTCAGCAGTCGATGATACGTTAAAAAAACTAGTATTCACAGCACACGTATAACTCGTTGGGATTCAAGCTTTTTTGTATGAAGAATCATCATCAAAGTCAATTGTATATTTTGTCATAAGCAGTCATTATATACTATATACTTCTAGAAAACCTCCTCCACTCGTACCTCTGTACGATTCATCACCTCAATCACTCGTGTACATAAGAAAACGTGGTACCCAAACAAACAAAAGAACAAAGAAAGAAATTGGGGTATACAATTAAAAAAAAAAAAAAGAGTTTCTTTTGGTTACCACGCAACCTTAGCAACAGGCCCGTTAGGGAAAAGTCTAACAATCAACTTGCGGAACTCGTCTAGGGCCAAAATACCCAGAGCTAGGGGAATAGGAATCAACCAATACTCAATGGGAACCGATGCCGTGAGGAACAATGTCTGGAGGCCTGGAACCTCGGTGACGAAAATAGCAATGGCAAGACTGATGAGCATGCTGAGGAGCAGCCAAGGGTTGCGACGCTTTTGGGTAAATGGATCGGCCTGGACGATGCTGAGACGGCGGTTGCGCACAGAGAGAATGTTGCCCCATTGGAGGATGACGAGGGTGACAAAGTAAACGCACTGGCCGGTGTAGTTGAACTGGTTGAGCTGATCCTGAGTGTAGCCGTGAAAGCCGTCGGTGTAGCCCTCGAAAAGGAAGAAGAGCTGGTGAACAGGAATGCCGGCCGCCTTCCACATATATAAGAAGAACATGGAATGGGCGCAGATAGTTTCGGCAGTACCAGTGAAGAGGTATGCTTGGCCGTAGATCTTGAGGTTAATGAGATGGTCTTTCTTATGGTTTCGAGGGGGCAGCGAAAGAAGATCAAACTCTTCCTTCTCCATGATCAGAGACAGAGACAAGAACAGATCGGTGAAGACACAAATCATAATCATGAGGAACGAGCTCAGTGGGAGAGGTACGCCAAAGAAAACATTGAGAATGACGGGCCAAATCTCAGACCAACTACCGGCCGGGAGAAGGTAGGCAATGACCTTTTGCAGATTTTGGAAAACGAGACGGCCGAGACGGATGGCATCGATGATGGAGTCGAAACGATCAAGCAAGACAAGATCAGCTGCCTCGATGGCAACATCACTTCCAGAGACGATGGCGACACCGACATCAGCGGCGCGAAGGGCGGGCGCGTCGTTGACTCCGTCACCAGTCACAGCCACAACGTTGTCGCGCTTCCGGAACTCTTCCACAATGCGGAGTTTCTGCTCAGGCGTCGTTCGCGCAAAGACAATCTCTTGATATTCACAGATGATGCTCCAGTCTTCATCGGAGAGAGAACCGAGACTCTGTCCCTCAAGGAGAAGGCTGTTGCACTCGCCAGTAATACGGGCCTCATTCAGCTTCTTAACGGCATCGATGTCGTTGTTAGCCTTGATGGTGTCGATAGTATCAGGGTCCCGCTCGCAGGTGATGATGCCGACGTTGCGGCCAATGGCAGCGGCAGTGAGACCATAGTCACCAGTAACCATGAAGAATCTGGTTCCAGCACGACGGCACTCTTGGACGGTGCTGAGGGTCTCCGGGCGAGGGGGATCAGTGATACCAAGAATACCGACAACTGTGAGGTCTTCGGTGGCTCGGCTGGTAACCTCGTCGCCAAAGCTGTTGGTGCCAATGGATTCGTCAACAGTCATGCTCTTCATGCAGAGGACAATGACACGCTCGGCATTCTTGGACAACTTGTCTTGGTATTCCTTGAAGGCAACCTTTGCGGGACCGTCGAGGGGCATGACACATTTTGACTTGCGAGACCAGTAGGCGGTGCAGGATGGCAGGAGGACGTCGGGAGCTCCCTTGACGAAGACCTGGAACTCGTTGGTTGCTTGGCTTTCAGTGGGAATTTTGTACATTGTGAGCATCCACTTGTTCTTGGAGTTGAAGGGAATCTGGAAGACCTTGGTGGGCTGGTCTGCTGCCTTCTCGTGGGTTGTAGGAGCACCAGCAGAGAATCTGAGAACAGCACCATCTGTGGCGTTGCCTTGAATGGTACGGGAGGCAACAGGGAGATGAAGGGTAGACGGCTCAAAGGTGGCGTCGTTGCACAGAGAAGCGGCCTGGTGAAGCTTCTTCATTCCGGCATCGACCTTGTCGCTTGCGAGGTTGTTGTAGAGGTCTTGGATAGCAATGGGCTCGTCGAGGAAGGCGAGGGAGTTGACATGCATTTGATTCTGAGTCAAAGTACCAGTCTTGTCGGAGCAGATGACATTGACACAGCCCAGCGTTTCGACGGTAGAAAGACCTTTGGGCAAAACATTGGAAGCTTTCATGCGTTTTGCCACCATCATAAGAGTCAGCGCGACAGCGACAGGCATACCCTCGGGAATGAAGGCGACGACGCATCCCATGACATTGTTGAGCATGGCCACAACATTCATGTAGTCGGGGTGGTCTTTACGCAGCCAGCCAACCCATGTTAGGAGGATAATGAGAGCGAGAACAACGGTCAAGGCAACAATGATGTAGACGAATCGGGTGATTTCTCTTTGGATCAGAGTTGGTCGCTCCTCTGCCGACGCAGTAGCCTTTGCAATGCGGCCCATGACGGAGCGAGGACCTGTCAGGACAACAACTCCAACACCGCTGCCGTTGACAACCAGAGTGCCCATAAGAGCAATGTTGCGGCTCTCCAGGAAGTTTTCTTCAGTCTGGTCAACCGAAGCATCAACCTCATCAGACTCTCCAGTCAGGATGGCACGGTCAAAGCGAAGATCACCAGAGTGATTGATGATTCGCATATCCGCAGGCACCTTGTTGCCAATCTGCAGATGGACAATATCTCCGCTTACAAGCTCGGTAGCCTTGATTTTCATCAACTGGCCATCACGACATACCAGAGCGTCTGAAGGGAGAAGGTCGATGATGGAATTCATAGTACGAGAAGTAGACCAGTCCTGGAAGGCAGAAAAGCCAGCCTGGAGGACAATGACAATGAGAACAAGAATGGCGAGAGCCAAGTTGGTAGGAGAAGGAGGATTGCTCAGGGGTCGCCAGCAGATGAAGAAGATGATGACGCCCACCCACAAAACGGAACAGAAGCCGCCAAAGACATACATCAGAAGCTTCTTCAGATAGTTTGGCTTGGGGTGAGGCAGCGTGTTCCTTCCATCTCGTTGAATTCTCAACGCGGCAGCACTCTCCGACAGGCCCATCTCCTGAGAGACATTGAGCTGTTGGCAGAGCTGATCGACCTCGAGCTCATGAAAAGTCAAGTTGGAGAAGTACTCTTCCTTGTTGTCCTTTTTCTCCTTGATATCAGGCAAATTATCAGAATCGACCTGGCGGGACTCGGAGACGTGAATAGACAAGGTTCGATATTCAATCTGGACCCCGGAGTAAGGCGAAGAGGGCAGATCGCGACGGCTGTTGACCGAACCGCGACTCATGGACCTCTTGCGAGACAGAGGGAGACCCTGCTCAGCATCAGCCGCATTGCTGCGGCCAACACGGCCTGATGGATGTGTAACATCGTTAAAGGTGATGCGGAGGTCGTTGGCTTCCTTTTCGTCCGGCTCGGGGGCAACGTTTTCAGGCATGATTGAAAATTGAAGTCAAAAAAGGAGGTGAAATTCAAAATGAAGAGAAGATGAAAAGTTTTGATTTTATTTTCAAGTCTTCTTGGGCAACTTTGATTAAAACAAGCGAGATACGGGCAGTGTATAAGCCAACTGACCGTCTCTTTTTCTTGCAAGTTTCAATACAAAGCGAAGAAGAGCCTTGATGAAAGGGAGAAGGAGGAAGAGTGAACCTGAACTCTGTGAAAAAAAAGGAGGGAAAAGCAGAGGACTGGAGGCAGGCTTTATGCACAGCTGAGCCTGAGCGGTCAAGACAGACAAAAAAAAAATCTTTTTGACCCAGATAGCTGGGCTGTGATAACAATAGCAACCTTGCATGCGGCTTCTCAACTAACATGAGGGATTCAATCGCCTACACCCTTTGGGCTCTTCCCTCCCCCTTGTCGCCACCAGAGCAATCAGCTTTTTTGCACCAAACGACGCAAACACGTTTTCCATGCTCACGCCCCCTAGGCTAGGGTTTTTGGGGGCTATATGTGATATCTCTGCCCCCTCCAGGCCAGACCATGATAGGCAAGGTAGTTCTACTACAATCATAACATACAGATAGGGCACGGTACCGCGTACACGCACAGCTACATGATATTACCTACAGATGCAAATACACCGACATGTATTGGAGGTGGTATGTCGACAACGCAGCGCTCAGCTCTCACTCACACACCCCCATGTATAGACAAGGGAAAAGGGGGGGCGTGTCGAGAAGAGAGAAGGGAAAACAGCATGGTATTTCGTAAGTGAAACAACATGTATTCCCGCATACAGGTAAAGAGAGGAATAAAAAGGAAAGGGAAATAGCCCGTTTATGCTGTGCCTCTCACCTGTCTCTCTCTCAGCTTACCTGAACCAGCTAGTTAGAGAGACATGGCAAAGCCGAGAAGAGACAAGCAAAAAAAAAAAAAAAAAAAAAAAAAAAAAAAAAAAAGAGGCTGAGGGCGTGAAACAACCCAGAAAAAAAATGAAAACCATCTCCCTGATCTGGAATGGCTCAAGGAGGGTATGAACAACCCAAAAAAAGGGGGGGTGTCCAACAGCTCGTTTTTTTTTTCTTCTGGCGGCCGAAATGGATCTCGCCAAAAGGCAATAATACACGTATCAAAATAAAAAGACCCCGAAAATTTCCCAATTCAAGCCAAGCAGTGTACATGGTCAGAGTGCCCGGTACACGCCGCATCCACCAAGCTCGAAAGCGTCGCACAGTGCGTTACTGGGGCTTCTGGTCTCGGGATCCGCCAGCCGAGCGGTGGATAAATATGCAATTGTATGAGGGAATTATTTTTCTCGCGCTGCCTGCCAGATGGAAAATTATTGCATCACAGCGGGGAATATGGACTTACCGCATCAAGTATCGCCTTTTACGTACATTCAAGCGCGTTGGGCAAAAGTTCACGGGTCTCGAGTTCCTTCCTGAGCTTTTTTGCTTCTTTGGTTCCCGCTCAGCTCTACAGTTCCCGTTTCCCTTCTTTCTTTTTTGACTTTTTTAAAAATTCTCCAGTTCTTTCTAGACTTCTCATCTATCATGCGCCTTTTTTTCAGCTCTTTTACCCATCAAACTCCCGGCGTTCTAGTTCCCCGAAAGTGACGCGTTTTTTTCGCAACTCACTCACATCTCAATCTCACTCCCCCCCCCCCCCCTTTAACACATGCGGCCATGCAATGCACCTCACTACAAGGGTCCGGACCCCGCTGTATGCAATGCGTATGCACGTCCCCCTCCTCGGCACTCGACCTTGATTCTGCCATTTTGCCATTTTGCGGGCCGTGTGAGGTCTCGAGGCCCGTCCTCCCACCAACTGTTTTCCCATCTCAATCTCATCTCATCTCGAAATCTCGTGTGTACTTGGGATACCACCTCGTATATTGCCTCCCAGCTTTGCTTTGATTTTCATTTGTTTTACTCAATTCGCATTGATAAAAAGGTTTGCTGGATATAAATACCGCATGTCCCACATTATACTGCCTCTCTTTGTCCTGCTATTTTCACTTATACCACTGCCTCCCCCCGGTGGTAAAAAAATATCCCGTCTCCATCTTTTCAAGATTCTCTGTCTCTCTTTCTAATGGGACTTATATGCCCTGATATTGACACATAAATTACGATTAATAGTGTCCATCAATATGAAGAGAAATCATCCATGCACACCTCATCCGACCAGACTCTCCATCATATTTTGACTCAACATCAAACAATTTGATAGCATATGAGCAAACCCCCTGTAGAACCACGCCATCTTTTCTTCCGCTTCGAGTCATTTCAAAAAAGCTTGATTCATGCCCCCCAAGCCAGGCAGACACTTACCAGCTTACCATCTGTCTACTCCGCCCTCCCATCCCAGCAGTGGCGCCACCCGCTCCAATGGGTTACATGCTGAGCGGCAATAGCTTCGATTCATGTGTCAGTAACACCTACTTGGGTAGTTCCAATATTGATATGCACAGCAAAACTCCGCAGATAATGCACGGAGGCGCATGCTTCTCAAGGCGGGCATTCATTGGATGCCTGTAAAGCCGTCAAGATACGCACACCCAAAGTCGTACGTTGCCGCTGCAAGCACACAACACATAGCGGTCCACCTCGGAAGAAACCTTCCTCTGCATATTTATAAACAATACAATCAGTAAAAGAGCCCCGGTGGTCTATGCACTCCAAACAAGCAAAGAAGCTCTCCACACACACACACACACATACGCGCATAAATCCCCAGATACGCAAAAGTCTTGGCATCGTGACCCTGCACGTGGCCAGCCCTTTTGGGTATGTGGGGTCCCGCACTTGGTCGGCACGTTCCGGGCATCTTTATTGGGTCAATGCGCGAAGCACAGGACAAGAACTAGTAGCCCTACAAGATTTTATGAACCAAGGGAGTAAAAGAGAAATGAGAAGGGAATGAATGAATGATAGTATTAGATAAGTATATATGTATATATTGACTATATAAAAAAGAGGGTATTTTTGTTTTTATGTTTGGTAGTATTTAATAAAGCGTCCCAATGATTTGCTAACCGTGCCGGCGTATAGCGAGTGGTATCATCAACAAAGACCGTTTTGCGGGCCACACCTCATATGCACGTGTAAGGGTTCATGAGCCTCAATTAAGATATAAAAGAAAAAAAAAAGGAAACCAGAGAAACCTCCACTCGCCTTCAAACGCCGTAACCTCATCACACGAGACTTTTTATCTTAAGCAAGAGCCTTGGGAGACTCGCCATCGGCAGAGATCATGGTGACGACCTCAGAGCCGGGGCGGACGACGGGGTCATCGTGGTGGGTAACGGCGTAGTCATCCTCACCGCTGAGCTCTTCAAGGGTCTTGCGGGCGGTTTCGGGGATGAAGATTGTGGTGAAGCAGCCGAGCAACATGAAGAGGGCGTAGATCTCCAGGACGTGGTCCATCCAAGGAGCAGTGTTGTCCTTGGTGGCGCCGCGAGTGCGCAAGGTAGCAATGGCACCCTGGCCGATGATGGAGCCGATCTTGCCGGAGGCAGCGGAGATACCGTGGGAGGTGGAACGGTAACGGGTGGGGAACACCTCACCGGGGACGACAAAGGTGGTGGTGTTGGGGCCTGTGTCGCGTGCTTATTAGCATTTTACTGGAAAGAAAAAAAAAATCTCATCGACATTTACTTACCAAAGTTGAAGAAGAACTGGGCGATAACGTAGATGGCAAGGAGGCCGTTGGAGCTAATGTGGTTGTAGGCGAAACCCATGACGATGAAGAGAATAGTCAGGATGGCGAAGCCACCAAACTGGATGGTCTTGCGGCCCAGAGTATCAATGGTAGCGACAGAAACCCAGTATCCAGGGACGGCACCAGCGAGGACAATGACAATGTTACCAACAGCGGTGTTGTACAGGTACTCGTAGACGGTGGGGGCGTTCTTGGTGGAGTAACCAATGACGTTCAGGATGGTAGCGTTGTTCAAAGAAAGACCATAGAAGGCGACATCAAGGCAGAACCATGAACCAGCAGTGCCGAACAGGACGAGGAAGTTCCTGAGCTTGCCGTAGTGGGCGAGGAAGTCCTTGAAGCTGGCCTTGGGGACCTGGAGGCTCTCCTTGGCAGCCTTGTTGGCAGTGATGCGGGCAATCTCGTCGGGGTGGCCCTCGCGCTTGCCAGTAACGTAGGCAACGACATCATCGCCAGCCTGCTCGACATCACGAGCGATATCGAAAGTATAACGAGGAGTTTCGGGGATGGTAAGACGGTCTGCGAGTAACGGCCAGGTTAGCAAACGGCTCTTACACGGAACTCTTGGAAAGTGGGTCCTTTTTTTTTCTTAGTCACTTACAGTACAGGGCAATGCAGGCGGGAACGGCACCGAGACCGATCAGGGTACGCCACATCTTATCGACAGCGAGCTGGCAAACACCAGTGCACTGAGCAACCTTGGCGGCGGAGGACAGTGAGCCCTTGAAGCCGAGAGTGACGAAGAGCATGACAAGAGCAGCGGTGAGCTGACCGAGACCCTGCATGGCAAAGACGGCGCTCATCATGGCTCCACGCCATCTGGTAGTAGCGAACCTATATAGGAGCAAATCGTGTAAGCGAACCAACGCTCACCAACTCACTCAGTTTTGAGAGTCAACTTACTCAGAGGTAATAATGGAAGAAAGGGGGTAATCTCCACCAATACCGATACCCATAATCACACGCCAGAAGATGATGAGGCCAATGATGTCGCAACCAGGGGAGCCGCTGGTCAGGGCCTGACCGATGGTAGCGAAGATGATGACAATGAGTTCGAGACCGTACATGCGCTTACGACCGACCAAATCGGCCATGATACCGAATCCAACCTGACCAATAACGGTACCGGCAGAAGTGGCGAGCTTGATGGCGCTGTCAGAGGAGGTAGGCATGACACCAACACCGGGGAAGTAGACGATGCCCAGCATAATGGTCAACATGGAGGCAGTGAAGATGTCGTACGAGTCCGTGAAGAAACCAACACCAGCGACCACGATGGCACGGACATGGTACCAGCCGAAAGGAGCCTTGTCGATCTCCGCAAGGGCCAGGCGGCGGCGCTCGTTCAGATCCTGGACGTGGAGAAAGTCATTGTTGTAGTTGTGGTAGGCACTGTTGCCTCCGGTAGTCTTGCCGAAGGCCATTGTGCTTTTAGTTTTGTTTAGTTTTTATGATGAACGACAAGTAGAAGAAGAAGTAAAATTGTAATGAGAGGCAACAACACAAGCCAAAGAAAAAAAGCTTGTATCACCCTTCTTCAATGAGAAGAGGAAAAAGACAAGGGGGTCTTGAACACTTGTGGTTGAGAAACAAGGAAAGAAGGGGGGGAAAGAAGAGTCCAGCCAGATACAAGGGACAGGCTCAGGGGAAATATATACTACAGCCGCACTGCTTCACATCTGTCTGTCCTACTCCCCAAGGAGATTTTAATCTTAATCTTTTTCAGGCAGCTTGATCCATCGTGGATCGACTCCTCGGGCCCTTTTCCCAGCCAAGACGACCGAAGTCCAATATTGGCCTTGGTCTGCCTCTCGGAGCGGGCCAAAAACTGATAATGAACTGACGCGAATGCAGCCATAGACGGAGATGGAAGGGCAGTAGATCAGGCACTCTAACGCGTTTCTAGTCAATCTATTGGCTGCAATGCCTGTCAGCGTCGAGATAAAAGAGCCCAGAGCGTGGTCGACCCGGCATGGCTTCTATGCTGGTTTGCGTCGATGGATGTGGAGGATCGGCCAATGAGGGGCTCGCAAATCGGCACGTTGTCGAGATAACCCCATCTGTATGGGGGACGAAGCCGCTCCACACTGGGATATGCTTGAAATTTAGCTGCATCGCGCGCAGGAGTTCCGGGAGTCAAGAGCCACCAAAGGCCATGGCTATACGGCTCTGACTCGCGGCTTGGCAGGCTCTTTTGCTGCCAAAAATACGGCCTCGTGAGGATGCTGAAGGGCTCATAGCTGAGCATCTGAGAGCGCCACTGCCTTGTCTGCCGCTGCCGGTCGTCTGGTTTGGCGACCGAGACGGTGGTGAGGCTAAGGGTCTCAGGCTGGACCCGGTCGGTTGCCTAAAAGGGACACCGAGTGTGGCGACTCCCGGCGCCGGATCCATGCTGGGCTCGCCTCGTCTTGACGGCTCTCCGCGCATGAGGCCTGCATTCTCCCACGTGCGAGCCCCAAGACGGCTGAATCTCTGCGATTTCTGGTGGCGCTGCAGTAGAAGATCGTGTTATAATCCACCGTCCTAGAGGCCATTCCCACTCGATGAGCTGCTGATCAATTCCAAATTCACTCATGCGCGCCACTTCAGCTTCACTCAATAAGCCTGCACGCAGGTCAGGATAGCTCCCACTTCTGCAGCTTACTTTTTAAGGTTGATTTTTTACTTTGAGTGATTTTCCTTCCTCTTTTGCCTATTTTTGATCGTGTGAGCAGAAAGAAGAAGAGCAAGGTTTTGGGGATTTTGGGGATTGTGCCATCCCAGCTTCATACCCAATCGGTCTCAACCCTAGCTCAAGCTCAGCCCGGGATCTAAAAATTTTCCCCCTCGGTTCAGCTCTCGCTATCAAGCCTTGCCATGTCTCTCACAACACACTCCCAAACCATGACCGAGAAGCCAAAAAGCGACAACAGCGACACCAGGGACGCGCTTGACGGCGTGCTGCCGCTCTCATATCGCGTGGTCACACGAGACAGCGAGAAGCAAGATGCGCTGCACCTGGTGGCCGATAGCATTGCGCAGCAACGCCAAACTGCCTCTGCCGCCATCATCTTCAACCCCCTCTGCCTCGCAGGCTTGGTAGCGACGTGCGCCGGCGTATATCGCCAATACCAGTACGCCGGCTATGGCACCGTGTTGACGATGCTTTGTGGCGTCGTCATCGTATATCTGTCCTTTGTTCGATTTTATACGTCGAGGTACCTTGAGCAGGCGGAGAAATTTCGCTGGAAGGAATGGATCACCGGCCCCGATGGCAAGGAGGATGTCATCATTTCGGCCTTTTTTGGCGAAGAATCAATCGGCACTCTCGTTCTCAGACTGAAGGGAGACAAGTTAAATAAGAAGAAGGGTTCTGCGCAGGCCAGCACAGATGGCCAAGGCATCATCCGCGCCTGGACCACCAAGCTGCGATACCGAGGAAAGGGAGTTGGCTCAGATCTGCTGCACTTTGCAGTCCAAACGACATATCGCGCATTTGGCTCGAGCGCCAGCGTAGAGTTTGCCGCAGACCATGCAAACAGCTCCAACCCTCTTCCTGACATGTTTCTCCGACCCTTCAAGAAGCGCCAGGAAAAGGCAGGCAAGGCGTTGAAGCAAGCTTTGGAGGACCAGGGGAACCCAAAATAGTCCCCAGCACTTGGGCATGGATATAGAATCATTCTGTAATATGTAATAATAATAATAATCACAATGGACATCACGCATAACATTGTTTCACCAAAGTAAACCTGGCTCTTAGGCTACTACCGTTGAACAAGTGCAGCTTCCTATAACTTGCAATCTCGATCACGGGAATTATAACTTGGCGTTGGCGATGTGCTAAATCCGTACGGCACTACTGCGACCAATTGATCTAGCGGTACGGCAATTGGGCATGCGACACCTTGGCAGTAGATGGATTTTCAAATGGCACATGTCAGCCAAGGTACTTGGCGATGCCACCATCATACTTGGCGATGCCGCGACTGCACTTGGCGATGAGGAATGCATCGCGCCAGTGGTGATGGTGGTAAACGGTTTATCCACCGGACTCTTGTTCCATGACCAACAGCTCCGTTGTTCGAGTTCTAGAAGGCTCTCTAAATGGCCCATTCGAGTCATTCGACAAAGGGACTTTCGTAAAACGACTTGTGTTGGCGATTGAAAATTCGAAGATGGTGGCGAGAGTAAATTATCGCAGCCAAATGCAGCCAGAGCTCGAGCACGTGGCATCGCAGCAAGAATCAATATTCGAAACGGACCCGAAACCGTCCGATAAAGAGCTGCGGGCGCCACGAGCTTTTGGCGAGTCTCTATCTGACAGTGGCAGCTCACGCACGTGGGCGCCGAAATAATGTCTCATCGGGTCGTACCCACCATCTCTGGCTTGGCTGCAGAACTATCGACGGTAAGCCAGCACAAGGGCCGATTTTTTTGTCCCTCCAGTCCGTCCATCGTGTTGCAAATGGAAAATTTTCTTTAGAATTGTCTTCCGACAAGAAAATGATTTGCGTGAAGACAATTGCTGGTTATTTAGAAGCGGAGTGACTCTGTCTGCTGGCCATCGAAGATCCCGCGAAAAGTTTCCCTGCTCACATCGCCGATATCCAGCTGCAGCTCACACGGCAATACTATTAACCATGCTGCGACGCGCGAGAATCATTTTGTCGTTTCACATGGCGGAGAGATGAGTTTCACCATTGCTTTCACACAACCAACAACGAGGTGATATGGAGATGATATATGAGAAAGATGCAACGATGCAACGGCAGGCCGCAGATCCGAGTGATGCACCAGCACCAGCATCAAGAAAGGAAGGTCGCTTCCATTGCAGTTTCACCACTCACGACAGTGCTTCGTATTTGAGCAGCGCAGACAAATACGCGCAAACGATAGCGCTGGGTCGCTAGAGATGTCCTGGTAAAAGATCCGAAAGTGGGTTGCTCGCTTCCTCTCAGCAAGCAGCTATAAGAAGACAGATTCCCACTCTCCTGACAAGCCCCGTCACTTGTTCTCAGGATGGCTGTTGGGACAACTGACAGCTTATTGCCGTGTTCTAGGGCACCGAGAAGGTTTTTTTGTAAGTCGGGCTCCATAGACGGTAGTCTGTCTAGCGCTTCAGAATCGATTGTCTAGCATTGACAAAATCTGCTCGACTGTGGTACTGTAATGCCGCAAGTTGCCGTTATTTAAGCGTGGTTAGTGGCATGATGGCCAGCAATTGTGCCAATTGAATAGGGATAGAGGAGGCCTTTGCAGCCGTGGCGCAATGGAGAACGGGCAATTCCCCCCCTAGAGCACTGGTGTCCGCGCTCGCATATTTTACTAAGACCTTTGATGGCTTGGGCGTAGACGTTTTATGTTTCTAGTGAGACATGCGCTCCAGTAGACGTATTACGGCCACTTTTCTATCGGCGCGACTTTTATGACCGCGTGGCTCTTAGCTTTGTGCTAGAGAAGGAAATGAGTGAGAGCTGGTGTTCTTCATTAGCCTCCTTTGAAAGTCACGTTTCACAGAACTGCCGGGCGAGTCCGAACGTAAAGGAGAGAAAAGAGGAGAGAAAGGAGGAGGCTACAAAGACCCAATACCTTGGTACTCTCGCCAACCTATTCCGCACCAGCAGCAACCCTCAACACAGCAATGATAGGTAACAGGATAGGAGAAATAGAAAGAAAACATCGCCAAAGGCGCAAAACATTGACTCAGCCATGTAGGCCACGCCGTTGCGATGCCAAGCATTGCTCGGGGCCATCCCTTTCGTCTTCTTGCTGCATTTGTCGCTCTTCTCGATGAATGGTGCCTGTGATAGGCGGAGCCCGCGACACTACCGCCGTCGTCAACGCAATTAGCCGCCGCTAAATTGTCGCTGCCGAACAATGCTGTCCGCTTTTAGTGGTTTAGGGCTGTGAGCTGTGGTACCCTGAGAAGACCTGTGGAGTGGCAGAGGGCTCGTTCTTATATGGGCTCTCTGCTGTAGCTGTAGCTCCCAGACAGTTCGCTGCTGGGCATTTCGCGCTGGTCTTGTTCCTTGCCTCCGTCTATATACTCATGATGCGTGAATATCTCTCAGCCTAGACGTCGAGCGAGTACTCGGGGACGCATTAGGGTGGGAGGCGGCGAGAGGCACCTTGCCAAAGGCTTCGTACAGCAAAGTGCATGAGGTCATGGCCATCAAACCGCCGGGTGGTAGGGGCGTGTGCGTCTGCTTGCGCGCGGTGCATGTTCCTAGATGCCAAGGCTCGCTCAGTGATAAGCTCATGGCAAAATATGGGGAGAGCCCAGGAATTTCGCGAGGAGGGGCGGCCGTGGCAACGATCCGGTTCGAGATGGGCGGATCCAGAGCATGCAGCAAAGTGGTGATGGCGTGCAACGACGCCTTGGTGATGCCTCAAAGCGTGAAATATATGCGGCAATGGGGGCGTAATATGCCTGTAGGCGCGGTCTGGCTGCAGCGCGTGCATAATGGAGCCGCCAGTGCGGACTGTCTTGCGTCGGCACTGTGCGTCCGCGCTCGCCAAAGTAGCGAGTACCCGCCAAGGGTCCAGTGACGGACATGGCTTAGGGCTACAGGGAGCAGCAAGCTTCGACCAGCTGCTCCCCAGACTCGGGCACTTTGGCGATTCCCAGCGCTCTCTCTCGACCTTTTGTGCGCCTCATTTGCCTTTGAATGTTTTGTGCTGTCCATGCAGTGTTAGCTGGTGGTACTACGGCAGCAAGGAGAGACCAGCATGCCCGGTTTATTCTCCGACCCTGGAGCGGTGAGACTTGGGTCTTTGTGTAAGTCAATCCCGCAGTAAGCATCCAGCGCACGATGGCATCAAGAGTGCATGTATCTGAAGACATTAGTAGAGTACATCACGGCACTACAATAAAGCACACTCCATACATACGTGTATAAACAGCTTGGCAACTGCCATGTACTAAATTGGTGTGTATTGATGGCGCGTTACTAACCGCCAGAAAAAAACAATAAGACGTCCAAAAAACACTGGACGGCATATACGAGGAACACACCAAAAGTGATTTTTCGACTGGCGCGGCAAACTCCGCATTTGCCGCACTGGCCTCTTACACGGCGATCGACTCTGGCGCTGGGAATTTGGACTGGTCTAGACACGGTGAAAAGCTTCACCGCAAGACAGCAACAGCACAGCACAGCACAGCACAGCCATGCCCCGGCCCAAAGCCAAATGCCTCATACTATCGCTATATCGAGAGGGAGGCCTCCTCCAGAGCGTGACGTAGGATGACGGTCGAATCGAGTTGGCCGCTGTGCATGGCCCCCGAGAGCCTCAGGCCGTTTCCGAGCCCTACTGTATCTGCCCGTTGCCCGCCCCTTCAGCGCTGCGTCGACTTACTGCTTCCGTCCTCAACAGCGTCCGGGGGCACGGCCTCTCGCCAATCACAGCCCGCGTATTTATGCATCTGGCAACTATTCACTCCTCTGCCGATCCCCATAGTCCCGGCTGCTCGCTCCGTATTAGTGCGGCCCTGCTAGCGAGCCAGCCAGTAGCGGGAAGAAGAAAAAAATGTTTCCCAGCCCAGCAGACTCCAGGTGCCTCCAGTGTATATCGCTCATAGCCACTGCTCTCGCGAGTTCACCGGTGATACTTCATCTCTGTTACGGCAGACAACACCAGGGCTAACGTCGCCTCCGCCGGGGTGCCCATGCCCTCGTTGCAAAACCGGGAAAAAAGGGACAGAAAAAACATGGTCAGGATATTTCCTCACGCCGCCTCCTTCACTTGTTATTATGGACCGGTTTGCTTCCTTCACTCCCCCAAAAGTCTAGTCCTGGCTGGACCCAACGCCGCGGTATGACACGACTTTAGCAACTAGAACTCTTGATCCCTTGTTTCGCTTTCTTGCTGCACGGCATGTGATGATTTTTTACTTCCTAGAAGGGAATCACGTAGCGCTCTTGCACACCAAAATCAAATGGCTCTCCCAACCAGCGTCGGTTCAGCAGTCGCCAATGCAATGCCTCCTCTTCCCCCCCTTTTTTTTTTCTTGTGTAGTGATAGCAGGGCAAGGGCAAGATTCTGTATTCATTCTTTCCCAGCTCGACTAATGCCCTAATGATTTTCCTTCCACGCGCGTTAGCCTAGGCGTATTAACTCTGCTTTCTCTTCTCAAAAAAACTGAATCGTTGTTATGCCATATTGTCCCAGAGGCAAAGTCCTCTGTTACCCCTTTTCATCACATCTCCCTACAGCTCAAAATTTTCTCCCTCTCCTCTTTCAGCTACACAAAGTCAGCCTTTCGCGTCTCCTGCGTAAACTACAATTTCGAGGAGGACCCGTACATGACAGCTTGAAGCGGTGAAGGCCTGGGTCGAACTTCTGCCACCCGTCTGGGACTATGAGCTGCTAGGTGATGCCACGTTTCCAAGCTTTTCATGAGTTGTCCCCGGCTATTCGGCTTGAAATTGCTCACGGCAGCCATTCCCTCATGGCGGTAGGACGGCAAATACAAGCCTAATTGTCCTACGCACCACTACACATGAAAAGCGAACAAGAGAAGCCTAAACATCAAGAAGAGAGAGCTGCCTATGATGGCAGTGATACAGTCTGTTGTTGTCTCTCTTTTTGCTTTTGCTAACTTGGACGATAGTTATTTGACAATTCAC